GAGGATAGAAGGATAATTGATGCCTTTGAGCTGTGGTGCTGGAGAAGAGTATTGAGAATACCATGGACTGCTAGGAAAACAAATAGATTTGTCCTGGAAAGGGTTAAAACGGGTGGCTCCTTGGAGGCAAGGATTCTGAGGCTCCGTATAACATACTTTGGACATGTTGTGAGGAGAGACAGGTCCTTGGAGAAGGACATCATGCTTGGGAGGGTGGAGGAACAGTGCAGGAGAGGAAGGCCCTCTTTGAGGTGGATTGATTCAGTGACTGGGATGATTGGGATGGAAGTGTCAGAGACAGTGTGATTGGCACAGGACAGGGCTGTTGTACATAGGGTCGCTATGAGTCGCAGGTGACTCGACGGCACATAACAACAACAACAACAACCAAAATTTTACCTTAAGTCTGTCTCACTCAAATTTCAAAACCATCTCAGGAACAGGTTTAAAGCCTTAAGCACCAATGAGCATAGACCAACTAAGCTCTGGGAGAATATCAAGAAAATGGTCCATGAGGAATGCAAACGATCATTACAAAGGTTGAAGAAGAGTCAGAAAAGATTCTGAATATTTCATTAGAGGGCCAAGAAGCCAAAGAAATCATAGAAATTTTCAAAGGCAGCTCAAGACAGCAAAGCAAGATACTATAATGATATGTGCAGGGAGCTGTAGTCAGAAAATGAAAACGGCCAAGCTGAAGGAGTTGAAAAACAAATTCAAGCCACGGGTGGCAACACTCAAGGATACTTTGGGTACAATGTTAAATGATCCAAGAAGTATTAAAAGAAGATGGAAGGAGTACACAGAGCCATTGTATCAGAAGGAATTGGCTGACATAGAAGTATTTCATGAAATAACATATGAGCAAGAGGCTGTGGGATGAGGTAGGAAGTTCAAGTTGCTCTGATAGAATTGGCAAAAACAAGGCTCCAGGAGTTGACGGCATAAATTGATATATTTCAACAAACAAACGCTGTCCTGGACGCACACACTAAGTTGTGCCAAAAAATCTGGAGGACAGTCAGCTGGCCAACTGACTGGAAAAGATCGATATTTGTTCCCATCAAGGTTAACCAGTTTGTTGTGATACACACAGTCATATGTCTTGCATATTCAATGAAACGCAGATAGATATCCCTCTGGTACTTTTTGCTTTCTTCCAAGATCCATCTGACATTGACGATATCTCATGTGCCACAACCTCTTCTAAACCCAGCTTGTTTTTCTGGTAGTTCTTCTTCAATGTACTGTTCCAGTCATTTCTGGATAATCATCAGCAGGATTTTGCTTGCGTGTAATATGAATGTTATTATATAACAATTTCCACACTCTGTCAGGTCATCTTTTTTGGGGATGGGAATAAATATGGATTTCTTCCAGTCAGTTGGTGAGGTAATTGTCCTCCAGATTTCTTGGCACAACCTGGTGAGCATGCCCAGCCCAAATGGGTCATTCGGGCCCAGATCTGAATTGGAAAAACAGAGCTCCACACAGAGCTGGAGTCTGATTTCACTTTTTGTGCCCCTAACTTGCATAGGGAACCCCAGCATGTCACACATGTCAGGAGTCTGAGATAATCATCTAGGCTTCCCTTCAGGTACCCCATTCTCCCAGGATATTAATGATATCCTTCTATAATTTCCGCACCCTGTCAGCTAACTTCTGTTTGAAATGGGTACAAATATGGATCTCTTCCAGTGAATTGGCCAGGTGGTTGTCCTGAGTAATTTAATATTCTGACCAAAGTATCCTTAAATATTGCAACTCGAGGCTTGAATTTATTCTTTTTCTTCAGCTTAAGAAATACCAAGCAAGACTGGCCCTTTTGAATTTTTTTCCCTTTTGAATTTTTGACTCCAGCTCTTTGTACATTTTATTATAATACTTTACTTTGTTTTCCCATGCTGTCCTTTGAAATCCTCTGCTTGGGACCTTAATTTCTTGATTTCTTCCCTCTGATTTGGCTTCCCAACACTCTAGAGCAATGTCTTTTCTGACATCGATCTTGGTCTTTTCTTCCTCCTTTGTCTTTGTAAGGACCCTTTGCATTCTTCATGAACCATATACTTTATATACTTTCACAGCTCATCTGGTCTTCTCTCATTAGTGTTCAAGGCCTCAACCTGTTTCTCAGATGGTTTTGAAATTTGAGTGGTATAGATCAAGGTCAAAATTTAGTTCCTGCTGATTTGATTTAATTTTCTTTAGCTTCAGCTTGAACTTTCATGAGTGGCCTATTCCATAATCAGCACTTGGACTACTTTTCACAGTTGATATTGAGCTTCTACAGCAATTCTTTCCACAGATGTAATCCATTTGATTCCTATGCACACCGTCAGGTGAAATTCATGTGTACAGCCTACATTTATGTTTCTTATAAAAAGTATTTGTAATGAATAAATCATTGATTGTACAGAATTCTATCATTTTATCTCCAGCTTCATTTCTGTCACCAAGCCTGTTTTCAAACAACTGGGTCATTTTCTCTGTTTCAAACTTTTGCATCCCAGTCACCCATTATTATTTTTTTACTACACTAATTTATTTATAAAATTAAAATGCATTGTTTTCCAGAACAAATTCTTCCAATTTACCTTCCCCTCTCCCCATCAAATTAATGGAAGCAGAGGGATGAGGATATGTGGGGGGGTGGGGGTCAGGGGAATACTTATGGAGTTGTACCCATTATTATTAGTGAGTCTTGATTGCATGTTCATTTTATTTCTGACTGTAAAAGTTGGTAGAAATCTTCTATTTCCTCCTCTTTGGTTTTAGTTGTTTGTGCATATATTTGAGTGATAGTGGTGGTATTCACTGGACATCCTCATATGTGTATGGATAATGTCACTCACAACATTGTATTAAAGATAGATTTAGAAATTACTTTTTTAACTATGAAAGCAACCCCATTTCTCCTCACCTTTTCATTTCTGGCATAATAATCATGTGATCCTCTGATTCAGAATGTCCCATGCCAGCTCATCTCATTTCGCTAGTATTTATGCATTCGATTTCTTTCTAAACAAGGTCCAGTTTTCCTACACTCATGCTTCTCACCTTCCAGGTTCTAATCACTAGTGTCTCCCTTGTAAAAATAATAGGTTTGATAATTTGTATTTTTAACTATTGTATTTTATCTTACAAGAAAAAAATTCTACTGCTAAACTCTGTTGATAGGTATATAGAATATGATTTTATACTAGCTGTGGGGTTTTTTGGCTCTATGTCATTAGTAAATTTGGTTGTTGCTGTTGGGTGCTGTAAAGTTGAAACATACTCATAGGTCACCCTCCACCGGGTTTTCAGAGGCAGTAATTGCACAGGAAAGAACTGTTCATCCTTTTCCCATGGAATAGCTAGTGCATTTGAACCATGAGCTCTAAATCTGGTAAACACATTTTGATACACATTGATGATACTAAAAAAATGGGTCTACTTACAAAGTTTGTATCATTCATCCTTTATGAAATTGTTTTGTTAACCAGGACTTTTTTTTAAAATGATGGTTCAATTGTATAAAATAAAGCAGAAAGGAATGAGATCTCCAAGAGTGTTATCTCTTTGTGGTTATTTAGTTGAACCAGCAAGAGCTTAACAATTCCCAAAAATGAATTCTGATGTGTCTGGAGTGACTATGGCTTTGTAGCAATTATTAGAACGACACAGCTCTCTTTATCTTCTTGTGCCACTTAACAAAGTATAACGGTGGACAAGTCAATAAATAAACGTTAGCTCCACTTATTAATTCATTATAGGTTAAAAAAGAACAATAATAAAATTACAAGACTCTTGTGAAAATGGTGTAATCAGAGGCAAAAGTGTTTTTAAGCCACAAAGAGCTATGCAAATGTTAACTGTGATTAAGCTTGAACATGGCTACTAGTTGAGATATAAAGAGAATGGTTTAGTTGAAATAATCCTGCCTTTATTTTTTTTTTTGCTGCCACCTCTGAGCCAGCTATGATTAGGAGGGACAGTATCTTGAAGATACCTTTTTCCTGTCTTTGTGCATTGTCTTGTTGTTGTTTTGTGCCTGCTATTGAGTCGCCTGTGACTCATAGTGACCCTGTGTACAACATCCCTAAACCCTTCTCTATCCTGTGCCAATCTCACTGTCTCTGACACACCTGCTCCCATTACCCCAGTCACTGAATCAATCCATCTCATCGAGGGTCTTCCTCTCTTATGCTGTCCCTCCACACTCCCAAGCATGACGTCCCTCTCCACGGACTGGTCCCTACTTGAAACATGTCCAAAATATGTCAGACAAAGCCTCAGAGTCCTTGCCTCCAAGGAGCAGCCTGGTTTAACCATCTCCAGGATGAACCTGTTTGTTCTTTTAGCAGTCTGTGGTATATTCAATACTTTTCTTCAACACCACAGCTCAAGACATCAATTTTCCTCCTATCATCCCTACTCATTATCCAGCAGCATAGCAAGTGATTACAAAGACCATAGCCTGTATCAGGCATACCTTAGTCTCCAGAATGACACTAGTGCTCTTCAGTACTTTGGAGAGATCTCTAACAGCAGATTTTCCCATTGCAATATGTCTTAATTTCCCGGCTCCTGGTGCCAAGAGTGTTGACCGTGGCGTCAAGCAAACTAAAGCTGTTAACAATCTCAATCTCTTCACCATCCATCATATGCTGCCAACTGACCCAGGGGTGAGAATCTTTGTTTTCTTGACATTGAGCCTCAAACTTTATTGAAGGCTGCAGTCCTCGACCTTCTGCAGCAAGTGCTTCAGGTCCTCCTCAGTTTCAGCAAGCAGGGTTGTGCCATCTGCATAATGCAGATTGCTAATGAATCTTCCTCCAATCCTGATGCCACATTTCTTTTTATATAGCCCAGCCTCCCAGAGAATCTGTTCTGTATATAGATTGAAAAGGTATGGATATAGGACATATCCCTGGTGTACACCCTTCTGAATTTTGAACCATGTGAGCCAGGAAAACAACACTATATACCAGATCTATAGGACACATCACCGTACCTTGGGAGACATTACCACTAAACTCAAGAGACACTGGTCACAGACAGCATAAGGAATTGGCAGCAGCTTGAAGTGTTTGGAATCACAGAAGCCCATAAAGCTTGTTATATAATCTATCAGACCAAGGACTGGATAATGGGAGATAGCTCTTGAAGGGAGTGGGTGAGAGGAGAAGGGAATTCTGGCGAAGGAGGGAAATGGGTGGGTCAAGATACTCATGTCAAAGGCGGCAATAAAACTGAAACTATTGGTTATTTCTACAATTGAGAAATATCTTTCATCTACTTTTTCCCCCTTAAAATGCTTGTCTGTCAGGTAACTTTTCTAAATCTGAGCATTCAGATTAAGATAGACTAGGAAGAAGGTTTGGCCATCCACTTCCGAAATAGCAGACCTCTGAAAATCCTGTGTTCAATGGAACACACTTAGACTAGCAGATAGGGCAACTGAGGTGGAGCTTTCAAGTATGGAAACACAAAGGAAGAGGAACATTTGTAAGTAGACAGTAATGCCTTGAACATGGACTATGAGAACCATGAATGTAGGAAAATCAGGAAGAAATGGAATGCATAAATATTGACATACCAGGTATTGGTGAGATGAGATTGTGTATTGTCTTAGAAGAGCTTTAAATTGCGCTCATTATGTATTTATATTAGATTCTACCATTTAGTATACACAATATCAGAGATAACAAGAATGGCACAAAATAGGGAAAGTTCAGATCTGTTTCTCAGAGGGTCTCTATGAGTCGTAGTCAACTCGCTGTCACTGAATAAAGCATACTCCATTATAATTTTTCAATATGTGTATAAGTTTGCTTTGACATTTAAATAATAATGCTAATAAAGGAGAATGAGATTTATTATATTGAAGATGTTCTTGTTCTAGTATACCATAGAGTCAAAACCAACCCACAACTGGCTGTTGTGGGAATTTTCAGAGTCAGTTAATTGCATAGGGGAAGAGTTCCCATTCTTCTCCCGCTGAGCAGCTGGTGGCCTTGAACAATAATATGCTTTTGGGATTGCAAAGCAGCTTCTTGTCACTAGGGCACTGAATTCCCAGTATCAATACTTATGTTTAAATTATTTTAAAACTTTAACATTTAATTTAATATATAAAGTTATGTAATTGAGTGATAAAATAAAAATCTATCACTTATGTCCCCAGACATAAGTATCTGTAATGTGACAGTCTCACTTTCTGGCAAAGGAACACTCAGAGTACGTAAATTCACTCACCCTAGACAGACAAAATTCTGAACTACCTCAACTCAGACATATTCATATTCCTTGGAATGTCACACCTTAGCATTTTTTACAAGCTCTTTTGTGCACCAGTGCAGTGACATCACAGACCCCTAGAAAGTTGCTGAATAAAGCTACAAGTTTGATAGAGGGGATAATGCCCACTTCATATCCATCCCCAGACATGAAGAAGAAATGTGTGCCTCCCACTCCAATGCCCAGTCTTAGTTATCAGGTACTGAGGCAGTGTCCCAGTGGAGATTGGATTCATAACCAAGAATCAATATGAAGAACTACTCAGCACTTTAGTACCTTTATAATTTATATGAAACTTGAGTGCCTTCAAAGAAGGTGATTGTAAGAAGTTCTCTGGACAAAACTAGGGCTAAGAGGGTGGTTAAAGTGATGAGTAACGCCTTTATGGGTTTCCTGTTTGTCACAATGGGAAGGCCACATTTACCTGCTCAATCCCTATTTACTTTGTATTCTAGGATAGAGGTCAGGAAGATTATATCCCACCTGCCTATACAGCTGTGGTGTGTTGAAAGCTCCCTGGACTTAAAGTAAGAAGACTTGGGTTTGAGTCTCAGTCTGTCACTTATTTTCTGTGTGACCTTGGACAAGTCACTTCACCTACCTGAGCTTCAGTTTCCTTCTCTGTTTAACTGGGAACATACCTCCGTCTCATGGGGTTGCTGTGAAAATTCAGTGAGATGGTGCATGTGGAAAGTGATTTGTTTACTGACTATTGCTCTGGAAAAGGACAGACAGCTGAGAGAAAAGTATATAACACTTTGTTTCTTTTTCAGGTGTACATCCAGTGGTTTAAAAACTCAACTCAATGCATCAATAAATATACAACTGCCTTCAAGAGAGACAACCCCCTATTTTAAAAGCTTGGATCAAAAGGACCTGATGGGATATTCATCCATAAGGGCCAGTTCTGTGCCCATCATCCCGTCAATGAATCTAGAGGAAAACTGCATGCAAATGCCAGGGATTTCTGAAGTCAAAAGCATCAAGTGGTGCAAAAACTCCTATTCTACTGATCTTGTCAATGTTAGTATTCCGGTCAGTGATTGTCTTATAGCTGAACAACAAGAAGTGAAAACATTGCTAGAAACTGTCCAGGAGCAGATCCGAATTATGAGTGATTCCAGGAGGTCAGAGGACTATGAACTGACCAGCATAGAAACTAAGAATAGAGCAAGTGAGAACACAGCTTTTCTCCCCCTGAGTCCCACAGACAAATCAGATAGAGAGGCACAATTTGTCTTAAGAAATGAAATACTAAGAGACTCGGCATTGACCAAGTGACTTGAAATGTAAGAATCTGTGCATTCCATTCTTTGCTCAACAAGAGAAGAAATTAAATAAAAATAATATGCATTAATTTAAGAGCATCTACTTAGAAGAAACCAAATAGTCTATCACCCTCATATCATAGTGTTTTTTAACAAAATATTTTTTTAAAGAGTAAGAAATGTTTCAGGAAGGATAAAGCTTATACTCTAAGCTTTCGGATAGAATTCTGAGTACTCTTTTAGTTAGTCCCAACACTGTCCTCTTTGGCTCTCAGATGATGTATGTGGGCATTCAGATACACAAGATACACAGTCCCACAGCTGCAGTATCCTCATAAGAAAGCTCTGATGGCCACATGATTTCAAAGAGACAAGCTGCATTCTGACGGTGCAACTGCCAGCTTTCACATTTACCAGTCCCAATCACTAAATTACCCCCTCCCCCAATCCCTAAATTTCTATTTGCCTGACGTCTTCATCATAGGTTATGTCATTTCTGGGAGCATAGTGATTCCTATTTTATTTTCAAAGAATGTCACAGGACTTAGAGATGGGAAACATAGGAAAAGGTGATCTAGGGAGCTCCTAAAAACTTGATGTGTCATCTTTCCTTGGAATTTGAAGATGTGGGATTTCAGAAGGTGATATAACATTATTGTAGAAAAAGAGACAAAACCCCCACAATGTTATGTCACTAAAATCATGCTAACAGAAATGTTTTTCTTTGAGGTTTTTTAGGGAATCCAAAGGAACATTTCTTAATGTGTACGTGTCTGTGTGTGTGTGCGCATGTGAACATGAGAGTGTATGAGCTTGCTCAAGTGAGCGCTTATATGCTATATGCACATGTGTGTTCATTGTGTGTGTGAGTGTGCATGTATGTGTGTATTCAACTTGCTAAAATTTGTTCTGAGACATGAGAGAATCTATTATCCACACAAAAATTTTCCACTTAGATCTGTCCACTTAAAATTTTCTCATTAAATAAAAAGTGGAGTCAGTAAATTCTGAAACCAAGGTCACATGCATGGCAGGGTCTTATAAAACTTTGGACAATGTCTAACCATTTTCAGATGTGAATACTTTTAGAGGAAAATTTCTGCTCATTAATATCAATATCCTAAGGAAAGTTCATTGAAGATTATGGGTGGTTTTTTTATCATGAATATTTAAATTATTTCTGGAAACCATTATCAAATTGACAGTTACCAAATTGCCTACTCATCACCTTCATTGCTATTTATTTTAAAGCAAGTCTACAAAATGTAGACTGATGTGTTGGCTCCTGTGGTTAGTATGAAAAGAAGTTGAAATTACATTCCCAGACTCTTCAGTTTACAGGAAGCCTCCGAAAGAACAGTATACTATGTTGTATGTTCATTTGGAATAAAGCAATATTTTTACCACTGCTGAGGTGAACAAAAACCTCTCCTGAAGATTTGTCTGTTTTATTTACCCTGACTTTAATGGGGCATTCAAGGAAATTAGTGTTCACATAAGCAGTCTTTTTCCGAGTTTTGGTGATGTTGAGTTGTTATGTTTACACTGTTTTCAATAAAAAGGCACAATATTTGAAAACATATAAAAGATTTATTTTACTGCAATTTGGGATACCATGGTTAAAATGTCCTCTTGGTAGATTTACATGCTAATGAAAGGGCATTGGGTTGAAATTATATCTGAATAAAATACTAAATATATACAAATGTTATTTAAGGCTGAAGTATTTCTGCTGATAATAAATGGCAAGTTATTCTTGGAGATCATTCTTTAATGGAATTTAGGGAAAAGAAAGAACACTATATTCTTAACTACACTACTTAGTAAAAATTCAAAGTTTCAAATGTTGAAAACACTTTGATTTAACTGCTGTTTATGTTTAACATAGGATGTGTAATATTATCATTTTGTCCCTTATACATCTGTTATTTTGAATATTGAGGCATTATTAGAATATTTAAAATATTGCTACAATTTTTAATGTCTAAATCATCTAAATTATCATTTAACATAATTTCTCTTTAAGAGAAAGTTAAAAAATAATCTTAATTTAAGCTACATAAAAATGTATAGGTTGAATAGCTAATTGATTATACTTGTTTTTTTGTTGCTGTTGTTGTTGTTTTAATTTGTTATTAATTTCAATGAAAATTTACAGAGACTTTGGATTTCCATTCATTCATTCATTGTTGCACTTTTCTCCCTTCCCAACCCTCCCCCACACCCAGTACACTACCCTCTTGGAAAAGTAAAAGAAAAAATTCTTTCATTGTTTTATAATCCCTCCCCTGAGGTCCACTCCACTAAGCAGCCCTCGCTCCAGACCCCCATCATGACAAAAATACCCAATCACATGTCCCATTTAAACCGTTTTCCCCCTCATCTGTTTCAATGCAGTATGCTCTATTGAACCCATCTTTCTCAGTCTCCCTGCCAGTCCTGTTTTACAACAATGGCACCATGCAGTGTTTGTCCTTTTGTGACTGAGATTCTTCACTCGGCATAATGTCCTCCAGAGTCACCCATTTTGAAAAATA